AGAGAGAGAGAGAGAGAGAGAGAGAGAGAGAGAGAGAGAGAGAGAGAGAGAGAGAGAGAGAGAGAGAGAAGAGAGAGAGAGAGAGAGAGAGAGAAAGAGAGAGAAATAATACAGACTTATTTTATATTACAAATATGAAATATTCAAATAAAAGTGTATTTGAAGTCGATAAGAGAAATCGATCTCTTAGAGGGAACAGTATAACAACACAGACTTATTCATGCTTTTGTGTCTGCCGTGAAATCGCTGAAATGGATTATCCGACGATTTCGGCAGAACCCTCCGATTCACCGATGATGGCGAACTGGTTTGAAAGCGAATTCGGTCGATGAGACCGACGTTTGAGAGGAAACGGGCAAGGAGCGAGCGTGCGAGACGGAAAGCGACCCTGCATCGATAGAAAGAGACAGGTGGAGAAAGAGAAAGATAGTGATGCCGAGTGAAAGTCCCTCAGTAAAAACCAGGCCAGGGCTTCATATCTTGGCGCGAACACGCCGGAGTCATTATGCAATTACGGCAATGTGTTTACCACTTGTCTACTTGTGCGTAGCATCGGTCGGACGACTGCATTTCCGTTTACAATTTACGTTCTAAATTGGTTCTAAAAAGTCTCAAGTCGCGATCGCGACAAATTTTATTAACAATGTCATTGTGTTTTCAATAGCTAGCGATAACTCACAGCCGAATACCGTGTGAAGCAAGGTCATTCTCATGTTAAACATAATATTCTTTTCACAACACGACAGGTGTGTATTTTTTATCTTACGATCTTCCTGTGAATATACGAAAATATTTATTCATACTTTCAAAAGGTCTTTAGATCCACAAATGATATGTATAGGAATTTACGAGATTTTACAAAGATTTTCTTCGTTCAATATAATATATATAATATTTTAGAAACAATATCGTATAATTGTAGAAAATATAAGAAAATCGCGTCGATAGATAAAATGTTTTGCGCTCTTTTTAAATAAAAAAAACAAGTGTGTATGTCAAAAGAATTATCACAAAGAATTATCGCCTTTCTCCAGCTGATGCTATTCCAAAATAGGTCAAAATTGTCCACGGTTACTTTAAGTTAAACTACATTGTAAGGAAAAACGTAAAAAAAAACGAAACGAACGAGAAGGTAAAAATGTTTCATACAAGTTCGTAAGAAGTAAACCGCAAATGTATAAATTAATAATGTCTTAAAAGTCAGAATATTTTTTCTAGAAATTTACAAATAATAATCGGAGCAGAAACAGCGACCGAAATTTTCGAAACAAAGTATAAATTTCTAACACCGATTTAGGTTCTATCTTCTCGCGAGCTGTTACTTTTATTTCTTTTTCGACTACCTATTGAGCTAAATTAATTTATTGTGTCCGTAATGATTTCGTCTCGCGATTCATGTACGTCTTTTTGTTTTCTTATGTTTGTTTTTCTATTTATTTTACATGATGTCGAGCCCCTATTGTATTCAGCTCTCGTTTCCCTTCGCTTGCTCTACAACGATATATACGAGGTTCATTCAGTCAAATAAGACTTGATTTAAATTATCGGTTTTTCGACTACAATACGTTATATTAGATAAATTATATAATTAAGTTTTGAGATCTTGTTATTTCTAAAATATCAAAAATAAAAAAATTAAATTAAAATAAAAAATTAAAATTACTTTCATTACAAATAGCATACCAAAATAATGAACGTGCAAAATCCACGTAAAAAATAAATAGTCGCACTAACAAATTTTGCGAGATATCTAAAACTGCTGCGTATTTTTGAGAGATCAAGAGATCAGTACGCATTCTACAAAGCATTTTCTTGTATTTATCCATGGAACGGAAGACCGCGTAATTTATATCATTTTATGTAATAATGAAAATCAAAATGCGAATGCTACCGCGAAATAAAGCGTCCGACATAATAACGATAACTGCAGGTAACTGCTCGCATTGCTTCTGCAACGCAATGTATTGCACGCGAGAATCTCATTGTTGGGAAATTCCACGTATTTTAAATTAACATAATATAACTCAGAATGTAGAATGCTGTCTATTATAAACTGGAGTAAAATATGTTGGCTCTTATAAATATGCGGAAAAAAATTATTGCAAATGATCATCATACACGCATTGCGACATTTACACGACATAAAAATGGGTCTTCTTTATCATTCAATATTACAGTATAATAATGAATTTTAAATCCCGCGTATATTCACGATTAAATAAATAAAATTTGGAAAAATATTTTTTCGGCAAAGTAAGCAACTAAAAATAAATTTCATTATTATTTTGTATACTTTGGACAACTATAATGATTCAGAGAACCGGTTTAGGAAGCTTTACGGAAATTCATACGTAATATATTACTAATCATCATTCCTCTAACTCACGCAAGAAGTCTTCCGAATTGGGAATTTATTTTAATTTATTTTAAATAGCCAAAAATAGCGAAAAATTGGTATCCGAAACTAAAGAAACTATAAAAACACGAATATAATAAAGCATTATATGCGCTACAATATTTTCCTCTTTATATTGTGATTTCTACAGACAGGTGTAACGTCGCATATGTGCCATCACATATTTAACGATTGTATTATGTTCATTAATTGTTCATAATCTAAAAGACTTACCAAAGTGTAATGTGGCGAGAATAAACAGAAGTAAACTGGAAATGACTCGTTGCGGCGTTGCATCCATTTTTCAGTGCTTCCGGTCACGGCGAGTTGAGATCTCTTCTTTTCTGTTACTGCGGCGGACGGTGGTGACAATGGCACATGTATACACACACGAACCACACGCGCGCACTTATATTCGATCTGCAATTCGAAAAGAACACTGTGAAGCCTCGCGTTGATCTTCCCCACTAATAGATACTCCATTAGTAGCCTCGATAATTTTTTACAATTATATCGCTTGGCAATGGAATTTAAATTTACTATATTATAATCAACAGTCATGTCATCCAAATCGTGACTTGTGCATTTATCGCAAATTTTGAATTTCAGAAAAACCCACGAAATGAATTGATGATGAAGATTATACTGTTAGTGTTAGAATGACCTAAAAATATACATTATAATAAAAAAATATACATTATAAAAAAATAATCTATTTGGACTATATTTATATTTATATATTACAAGACAATATAAGAAAAATATTTCAAATGCGAATAAAAAGATATTGTTTGTTAACAAAAAAATTATAATCTTAATCAACTTCAAAGAGCTTCGGAGAAAGAATTTAATACGTACGAGGAGCAATCGACGAGAGATCAAGCAAACTTGGTGTTAACAATCGTCCGGCTCGGAGCCGACTGAGCGAAAATTCGACGTCGATTGTACGGCGCACCTTTCGCGCGACTCAACTCATACATTATTTACTGTTACCTTAGGATTATGCTTGTTTTACCTTAAGATTATGCTTCTGAGGCACAAAAGCCGGATTTTATGAGACAGATCAGTTCTTTCATGTATACAAAATCGTTTACATATATATATATGTATATATATGCAGGATCGCATATATATATATGTATATATATGCAGGATCGGATGTACGATTTTGTGGCCCCTAAGCTATGATCTTAAGGAGGCCCCTCTTATTAACAAAAAATACATTTTTTAAAATCTTTTCTATACTAAAGAGGCCCCCTTATAATGTGAGGCCCCTAAGCTGTAGCTTATCTAGCTTATGTGTAGATCCGGCACTGTATATATGTGTAGTAATTCAATAAGTATGTCACTAATAAAAATGCATATTTATCTTGTAAAATGCTTCAGTTTACATCTTAAGTAATACAACTGTTTGAAATTTAATACAAATTGCATGTATTGTATTATATTGATACGTTGATTCTATCTTCAATTGTAAATCAATTCTTTTTTCTATAAATTCAGTAGATATTTTACAGCTTACTTTTCCTCATGTTATTGTAGATATATATTGTGTGTAATATCACACTAGAATAATTCTACTACAATTAACTTTTACAGACAAGATAACTGAAATTATTAATTTTCGACACCATACATTTATTAAAAGAGATTTCTCATTTAGGGTTCAAAAAAATCAATTTGTTGTTGCATCTGAATTTTCAATTGTATCTTCTATGTATCAAAAATACGTATGTAAAGGGATTTTTCGAGAGAAACTCGAAAAATTCTCGGAATTATACGCTATTAAATAGAACGAAGCATAAGTATAAGATGACTTCGTTAGACAAGTTGGGAAACTTTTTTTCAACGAATCAGTTTGTAGATAAAATAGGTAAGAAATATATTTATACTCTATTGTCATGTGAGTGTGTCCTTGGAAAAGGTTCGTATTCTTTTATTTTAATGAGAGCTGGTTCTTTTCGTTAAGTTTTTAATGAGACCCCAGTTCTTCTTTGAACGCAATTTTCTCGAAACTATATTTACAAAATTGGTGGGCGTAATATCTCTGAAATGAATCAATCGATTGCCAATTTCGATTTTTTTTTGTAAAGTAGATAGTTTTTACAAGTCTGCCTACAGTTTATTTATACTCGACATATAATTTATGTAAACCAAAAAATAAGAATACAGGTAGAAATATCATTATTATTCACAAAATATACATAGGAAAAATCAGCCAACATTCATAAAATATTTTAAAGTACGGAGATATATATTCTCTGTTGAGAGAGAAATTATCCATATATAATATATTTCATACGATACTATATGCTCCGGCAAACAGTAATTTATGTGTTGACACATTCAACAAACAATAATTCATGCTAACGTGCTTGGAAAGTCTCATTACCTAAATTTATTTGCCTAGCATATACGTTATATACCAAATAGATGAGAGAATTGAGTAACCATAATGCAATGAAACAGTTAAAATGGCACTAATGATGCAATTTACGCAGCTACTGACTTGTATATTGTCTTCTGCATTGTTTCCTGACAGTAATTAATTGAATTTTAATCAAAATAGTTTGCAGACGTTTTAATAAACTATAAATTCGAGATAAAAAAAGTATCATATCCGAATATGCATAATGATATAAAATTTATTTATTTTGATAGCAAATTGAGATCAGAAACATAAAATAATTATGTAAAATTAATAATAAATATGTTATACAGATTGTATAACAGAAAGTAAGTATTAATAAATAAGTATAATCTTTCTTTTCAAAAAGTCGTTTAACAAAATCGTAATAAACATATATCAGGAAACTTTTATTTTTTGCATTTAGTTTTTCGATTTGTCCAAAATAATTTTCCATTTCGAAAACAATAAATGCACAGCACCAACACGTATCGTAATATATATCTTCTGCTGTATATCGTTACGAATATAATCTCTTTCTACCGCTCGAAAGCACACGTATAGACACGCCCGATATTTGGCAACGCTTATCTCGGACGTAATTTCTCTCCATCGCGATATCGAGACTCATTCCGATTAAATGAAAAGAAGTTTATTTCGAATATTTATAAAAGCATATTCGAAATGCCGTTATATGTTACTTTGCTTTTCAAATTATTTTCTAGCACAACAAAAAAATTTTAAAAACCCAATCAGTGTATAAATACTTTATAAGTTGTCTCACATAAATATTACGCATGAATGAAGATATTGCTATTGCTAATAATGGCTGCGCTTTTTCAATCTATTTTAAATATAAATTTTATATATTTGGTATATTTCTCACTGACAAATATAACAATTGTGATATCAATTTATTTTTACGCGTGCTTCTCGTGATCGCAACGAAAAATGTTGTGCAATCGATAAACCCGTAAATTGAACGACCCACTCCGTATACGATAAAATCTGATTCCTACAGAATTCCGTGCATATTCGAGCAGTTTATTGTAAGTCAAATACTTGGAGAAACTGCATGTACCAATAAATTCACTTATTGTTGGATACACGCGCGCGCGCGTTCCAACATATTTCAACATTAACATATTTGAATTACTATGAATCACAGTAATTTATTGCTGAAAATTCGTATCTTCGTCGATCGACAACTTTTTCGTATTGTTAAAAGAACTTTACGAGATTGCTAAGCTATCGCGGAACAATCTTGAAATATAAAACAGTCGAGAAATTTAACTTTTTTAATGCAATGATAAAAATAATAAGCTTTGAATAGAATCTTAAAACAAGATTTTGCGAAATTAATCAAAATACGCGCAGTTTTAGACAATCAAAAGTGCAAATTGTTACAATATGTGCTTTATTGTGTTATTTAAGATATTGTTATGCGATCTCTCTTCGATCGTCATCAAAGTATTTTTCCTTCTTAAAACATTGTAGAAACGTCCATTCTCTAATTAACTTATTTTCTCGAAAAGATACACGGCACAAAGTTTCCTTTTAATCATTGATATCATATCTTCCGACGCAATAATTCCCAAGTTCTTACTAAATTTGATCACAAACGCGATATCTCGATACCAATCCGTTTTTATCAGACCCGAATAGCGGAAATTCACCCTCCTCACACCGCCACGTAATGGACCGTCCCGTGCACATGGGTCCACACGAGCAAAACGATTCTTACGTTCACGGGCATCTCCCTCCGCGCACACAACACACCATATACGAAGTGAATCCGCGCTAATTCTCATTCACCTGCCGATTCCACCCCCTCTCGATACATCCCTACGTGTATGTCGTGGCACTCGATGGATCCTGACTGCCCTTTGCCGCAACCGCGCTCCCGACCTTATCGCGCGCGTGTTATCCTCTCAACGGGATCCAACAGCACCGTCCTGACCTGGTGAGCCACGCACGGCGCGGTAGCAGCAGCAGCAGCGGAGCCGGCGCCGAGAGGGCCACCACACACCACGGAGCCACCGCCGTGGGACGCGCGTTTTCGTGTGGATGTGGAAGGACTGACGGTGGCTCGACTTTACTCGCGCCGCTCGGGAGCGAGTACGCGTTCCCCGGGACATGCATTGGCGGGCAGGAAAGCTCCACCTATCGCGCAACCGAGTGGGAGGGCACAGGAAGACCCGGAGCTTGCGCCTCCGGCTGGCCCGCGCACCAAGCACAACCCCTTCCTTGGCTTTTCCCAACTTTCGAGCTTGCGATGCGCTCCCTCCCTCCCCTCGCTTCTTCTCCAACCCCCTGTCCTACCCCCTCAACCCGCCGTCGCTCGCCGCCGTCATTACCATCGCCTCTGCCACCCTGCAACCCGGCGAGCTGATGCCCTCCCTTCCGCTCTCCTCCCTCCGTCGTTTCTCTTCTCATTCCACCCACTCTAACCCCGCTGACCGACGGGACTCTTACCTAATACGATACAGAGCGCTAACCGGCAAAATTCGGACTAGCAGCAGCGAACCGCAAGCACGAAGCAAGCACGGAGTCGAGGAGCTACCGCCATTCGGGAAAGCGCGCGGGGGCAAAGGGCGCCTTTGCAGATACGCTTGCACCACGCGTCTTCTTGCGCTACCTCTGCTCGAGACCAAGCACCGTTCTTGTTGTTTGATTTTTTTTAAGCGTTTTATGCGCGCACGAGTGCACTTTCTTGCTGAGCTGCATTTCGGAATTTGCGACCACGTTTGCAAAGAACTCTACCCGCCTTAGTAGACGAGCCATATACGAGCCTACTATTTTTCTCGCATACTTTCTTGCCTGCACGCGACACGCAGACCGAGAGTTAAACAGCAGCGCAGTTTCTTCCAAAACGATGAAATCTGCTGTGAGTCGCGTCTCTTCGAAAACTCAGCGCGATATCTTCCCGTTACTTTATCTTTATTTTGTATGTATGCCTCTCTGTATTTATTCCTGACTGTCTGTGTCTGTGTCAAGTCTTTTCGAGTTTATTCTGAATAGCTGCCGTATCTCGGATAAGGGGAAACGGAAAAATATCTATCCATGCGAAAACGCTAACCTTTTCTTTTCACGTTAAGCTGCGAAACTTTTTTTTCCTATTGTTCGTTTATCTACAATTGTGTTCACACAACACACGGACGCGCGCAAAAGTCCGTGATAACAATCGATTTCTCCAGATAAGTCGTTCTTATTTTATCGTAAAAAATTTAGAATCAAATATTACTGTCTTTTTTTAATTTGAATAATCTTGAAAATCTTTTAAGAGTCTTCTAACTTTAATACAGTAATAACTTCAAAAGTGTTTGTTATAAATCAAGTTTCTATATATAATGCAGCGCTAGAAGTCTTACAATTAGTCTTTCGTTTTACATCGAATAAAAATAATCAATGAAATTGTCAATATTATGTATTAAGCTTGATTTCAATGTTCAGCCGTGACAAAATCCGATCTATAATAATTAAGTTACTGTTTAATAAAAAAACGATGCATACATACGCCTAACATATTTAACCTTGGAAGAACTAATGTGTATTATTCTAAAAATATTTCTAATTGCGTGATGCAGTTTGTAAAAATTGTGATATACCTATATCACTAGAATCGAGATACACTCTCGTCGAGAATACGCCTGTAAAATGCTAGCATACGTCTAGCGGCTAGTGACAGCTTTTTCGATCACCCGTGTTTACGCACTTTTTAAGTACGATCGGCCGCTACATGTGGACGGATAAAATTATTGCTTTCGACTAGTCGAAATAGCACTTGTGGATATTGTGCTCAAAGGCTCACATAGAAAGCACGATAGAAAGCCGTGCATCGATATCACGTTGCTGTGATTTATGCATATAAACGTCAGCATCGAAAAGACAAACTCGTTGTCTCGTGAATAGACCATAGATATGAAAGAAAAGAAATCGAAGAAGAAAGACTTTCGCGCGAGAACAGATGCCAGTTTGATGCTTTCGCCGTGTGACGTATACATACAAGGTGTTATGAACAGCGAGGAAACGATTTTTCGTCGGCTTTCTCTTCACGCATGATCACTCTCGAGTAATGAACATTGTAATCGCGATATCGATACATCAAAAAATAATGTTTTCGGAAAATATCAAAGAAATAATTTATTCTGGTTGATATAACTCCGTGAATAAAACCAAATGCGACAAAAATTGGCATAATAATAAATTGACAACTAGAATTCAATGACAAGTATTTTTATTGAAAAGCATAGAAATTTCATATTTTGCAAATTCTTTGATATTAAGTTAAAAGTACCTATGAACAAAAGCATCAAAGTTTCATAACTCACAACCTATATTTTAATGACAGGTTTTTTGATAAATTCGGAGTCAATTTTTTTTTTTAGTGAAAATGTTCAAGTAAAAAATTTTTGAGTTATAAGTGATTTGAAAAAGAAGAACAAAGCTTTCACAAGCTTTAAGAACATTAAAAAAATCATATTTTTTAATTAAGTTAATTAGAAGTACGAGTCTAAATGCCACAACTTGTCCTTTTCCGTCTTGTTTAATTTGTAGCGAAAAAAAACCAGTTAAATTAAATTTAAACTGAAATAATATTGAGATAAAACCAAAACTTTAAAGACAACTCTCCCTAAGATAAATCGTAAAACTGAAAAGATCCAACATCCAATATCATGACATGAAAGTGAGTCTTCATTTCGTAAACGAAAATTTAATGGGACAACGATATCATTGAGATATCTGTCACATTTTCTGTAGCCGCGTTCAATAATCGTATTGACAGGATTGTTAATATCAGAAATACTGTATCAACCGGCCATCATTGTGCAATTTAATTAAACATTTAATTATATTTCAAACGACAAGCAACACCGATATATAAATGCTGCGAGAAGAATATGTCCCTATGCATGCTTGTGTGCGCGTGATCGCTTCCTGATTGTCTGACAGAAAGATACGCGTTTAATTAAGTATTTAAGTGCGAGAGAAACGCAGAAGGATTTTAATTATGTTATCTTAAGTAAATGTCAAATTGTGCACATTAAATTTATACTGTAAATTTCTGCTTTTTTAAAATATAACTTTTTGTGGCATAAAAATACTTCTTACGCGACAATCACAAAATATGTACGAATACTTTATTTCTTAATCCTCTATAAACATAAACATTTAATACATGTACATGTGTTTTGTACATATGTTGCATAGATTCTAAGAAAGCTCGATTTTTCTCACTCTCTTTCTCTTTTTCCCTCCCAGCGTTTTTATTGACATTGAAAGAAGCGCGTAAATCAACAATTCACATACGACTGACAACGTCAACTTCTCGCGATAATTTCGAAATGCGGGAAAATATCTTTCATATGAATCAAATTGGGATAACACTTTTTCGAAGCATGATGCACCGAAGTATTGGGCCAATTTTTTTGACAAATGTTTCATTTTTCAAATTTACTTCTTAGCGACAGCGAAACGGCATGAATCGTGGATTCGGCGACCTATGCGCGTGTTACGAGGGCAGACTAAAAATATGACGGTATTTCAATGAGAAATGAACTTCTCTTGCTCTGTAATGCCTTGGGTAACGTATATGTTCCCGTTTCGCTGCTTCGCGTCGCTGATTCGTTCGTACGAAAGCGTTTTGAAGATTCCCTCTTGCTTTTTCCTCTTTTACACTTTTTCTCCATCGTGTCTTCTTTTTATGGGCCCGTTATGTGAATTTTTACTTTATGGTTAGTAAATTATTTTTGAGCTTGCGCTCAAAATGGCTAGAGGCTCAAGTTACCGAATCGCAATTTCCCTTACCGATAGATATTATCAACAAAATAATTATTAGCATTTTGATATCTTCTATCTCTGTCCTCTCAAAGTTTGTCCGTTCAACCTTCTATATCGATTTACACTGCGCTTGCACTTGTACTTGTCAGTCCCGCCTTTGATTTTGTAAACTTATAAAACATAATAAATAATAAAATAAATTTCTAATTCTTTGTCCGTTAGGACATATTATTCATTATTGATAATGTTTCTAATTTTGATAAATAAAATTCTCTCAAAGCTAAAAATTAGGCTGATAAAAAATGGTAGACTAACATGACTGTGACTCAAATTCCATTCTAGCTTACGATAAAAAATATTTTGTCTGCATTAATTTAAAAAACGGGAAGATTTTCTCCGGAAACGAGTAATACCCTACGAAACATGCATAACAATAAGTATTATTCTCGTGTTTCTGACAATTAAGATGAAAATTCGTAACTAAAATCCGAATAAAATCGCATGCCGTCTACACAGTGTGCCATTAATAAATATCTCCGCAAATTCTCGCGCAAATTATGAAATCGTATTAAGTCATATCGGGTTTCATCGAAGCTCGAGAGCTTTGAAAAGTCCGCTCCGTCCCGCCTTTCCCCGTGCCATAAAAGTGCTTTACGCACGGGAGCGCATGTACGTCGATAAATTCGCGGCACCTTCTCCACGGCGTTATTCGTGGCTTCGTAAATTCGTTTCCACGATGAGAAAATCATATCGTCATTTCGCCGGAGTCGCTATTGGTTTTGCGCTGAAAAAAGTAATAATGCACCCACTCCTCGAATCCGCGTTTCCGCGTCTCAATGTCCCTTCCCCGCTCCCTTCTTCCCGACAATAGGCGTCAAGCTCGTTCGTGCGATGAGCGCCTGGGATACGGGACTGAATTTCAAATTAGCCGATCTCACCCTGGTTGCGATTCCTTCGCGGAGTAGCACACTGATCTGTGTACCGCGTGCATAGGAGACACCCTGTCCTTGATTTCAACCCCTCAACTGATATATAGCGCTCTTAGAAACCACTCCCCAACTTTTCACTCCCTTCGCGCTTTACCAAATATGTTAACTATTGAATAAGATAAAACTAAATATTTTTTGCGAGCATTAACACTTTTAGTCCTGACACGGAAAGTCTCATTTTGTTGCAGAAATTTGACACACTTAAAAAATTCAATTCAAAATGATTGAACAAAACGCCAAATCTAATATATAATTAAATTATATCCATTCGCCAATTAATTAAATT